ATTAATGTAACAACCAGGGCTGTAAGAGAGCTGCTGGCCCAAAGTCCCCACGGAGCTCCTTAAATGCCTGCTGCCTCAGAGGAAAGGCTCCACGTCTTGCATTCTCAGATAGACTACCGTGGCAGGTGGGAGCTCCATGCTTTGCCTCGGTCTGGCCAGATCTCCCTTCCTCCCTTGGCCTGTCTGCTCCCCTTCAGCAACCCTCCGTGCTGGGATTCCACCACCCACGATGGAGATCTCCAATATTTTTATTTTTACACTGGCACCTTTTAACCAAAGCAGCCCCCGCCTCCACCTTAGCTGGCCAGGGAAAGGATGCGGTCTAGAAACGGCCATCTCTGGGGAATGGGTTCAAGGATCGGAAAAGCGGCTTCCAGCCGGAGCCTGGATGTGGCCTGGTCACGAGGAAGATGCTGGGGCTTGGCTGATAATTTAGGAGTGTTCGGTGGACTAGTAATTCTGCGATTCTGGTCTGTCCGTGCCGTATCCTGGTCTCTCTGCCTCCTCTTCCTCCTCCTTGCTGGAGCCTCTAACCTCGAAGGCCACGTCACCCTCTCCTGGAACCAGATGCTCCACGAACCACGGTGCAAATCTGCACCGTCTCCCTCTCGGCACGCACAGCATGCCGGGATCCCAGGAGATCTGGGATTCGGCTGGATTATCCCCAGATTTAGTCTTGGGGAAGCCGAGGCCAAGGGGAGGGGGCAGGCAAAGCTGGATCAGAGAAGGGGACACCCAGACCCTCGCCTTCTGATCTCGAGCCCCACCCCAGGCGGCAGGCAAGGAGGCGCCGTCAGAGCACAAGGAGATGCGCTCAGCAATCCCAGAGGCTGGTGGCATTGCTGCCGGATTGGGGGGGGGGGCTCTCCGAGAAAACAAGGCAAGAGGGAATTATTTCTTGCTCTGTTTTTTTGGACACGTCTGCAATAGAACCTCCATATTCAGGAGAAGTATACCTTTCAATCTCCCAGCTGCCAGCTGGCTGCATGAAGCTGGATTGGGGCTAACGAGGCAGTGCTGTGCAGTGACTTAAGTCCCCCCCCCAAGCTGTGAGGGTGGGGATTTGCGCCCCGAAGACCTGTCCTCGGTATGTGGGTGGCGGGGTTGACAGACCCATCCCGCCCAGAAAAACAGCAATTAACCTGGTTGGGCCATCTGCCAAAGTGAAATGTGAAACATGCTCTCCTGTGTCACGGGCAGCGTGCCACGTTTGCCCACGTGAAGCCATCTCAGGCCGGGCTGGCTGGCCGTTCAGAGGACCCTCCTGCCCCTCAGCTGGGGGGCACCGAGCGGGAAAGGATTCACGCATGCAAGATGTCAGTGGCCGACTCCTTGGCAGGGCGGGGTCAAGAGGGCATCCTCTGCCTGGCCTTTGGGGGGCATCCCAAAACAGGCCCCGAACCCGTTCTGCCTTAAAAAAAAATTGGGGAAAAAAATCAACTCCAAAAATGTGATCCTGGGCCTTTTTGCCCGAAGGAAGAGGCGAGTCCAGACGTGGCGGCCGTTCGTTCGCGCCGGGGAGCAGGAGCCAAACCACGGAGGGGCTGTTTCCCTCTCGCCTCCCCAAAGGCGCCTTGGGCACAACGCCCCCCACTCCTTTCTCCTTGCCACAACGGGCGCACTGGAGGTCCAGATGGCAAAGCCACGTTAAACCGATGTCGTGATGTGGCTAATCCCCCCCTAATCCCCCTCCAACCCCCCGAAGCTTCCATTTTCTTTAGCGGTCT